CCCCAAATCCCCTCAGCATCACCTGTTTGAAGGTGTGCAGGACCTCCTGCCTCTGGCTGAAGTGCTTGAAGAGGAGCTGCAGGGAGCCCGAGATGAGCGGGGGATAGTCGTGCATGGTCAGGTGGATCAGCACCCGCAGGAACATCCTCCCTCCCTCGTCGTCCACCTCCAGCATGCTGCTYGACTTCCTGCAGCGGGGTGGGAGTGTTAACACAGTTGGGGATGGCTGTGGTGGCCTTCTGAGCCTCCTTGTCASCTGCAGCTCCCAGCCTGGGYRGGATGGACAGGAGGAGGACRGCYCTAKGGGCAGGGGAGCTGTGGGGACAGGRACTCACCCCACACCRAACATGGCCTCGGCGTGCTCCCCGATCCGGTCCAGGTTCATGGCTGCAGCTGCAGGGAGAGGGGAGCGACTGAAAAGGGTGGACAACACCAGCCCCGTGCCTTGGMAGGAACCCACAGGAACCACCCCTGCTCCCTGACCCTGCTGTGAGTATCCATGATGGACTCAGGAAAGTAACTAACCCCGCTCCCTGACTCTGCTCCGAGCATCCACGGTGTACTCAGGGTAGGAACCCACAGGAACCCCCCCTGCTCCCTGATCCTGCTCTGAGCATCTGTGGTGCACTCAGGACAGGAACCCACAGGAACCAACCCCGCTCCCTAACTCTGCTCCGAGCATCTGTGGTGGACTCAGGATACCTCATCCCACCAAAACCTGAACTCCATCCGTCCCTGCCCCCTGCCAGCAGCAGCTGCTGGAGATGTCACCTATGCTGGAAATGCCACCTCTCTTGGAGGTGTCACCTCTGCTGGAGATGTCACCTCCGCCACCTGTGTCCTCCCAGCCCCTGGGGTTTGCCGAGCTGGGGGTGTACCAGGAGCAAAGTGGGAGAGTTACTTGTGGAGTCAAAGGCCGGAGCCGTCCCGTCGGCCGCGCTGTCCTGCATGGGGTAAACCTCCACAAACTCCTTCTTGAAGACCGAGAGCAGGTAGGAGATCCTGTAGTCCAGCCGCACATTCAGGATGAACTGGAAGCGGCGGGGAAGAGGAAGTCAGGAGGGGCTGAGTGCCCTCCTCATGCCAGCTGTGTCCCCCTGCTTCCAAAAAGCACATCACACCCATCCATCGCCTCCAACCTGCAAGATCTCCAGGATCTTCAGCTTGGTCTCCATCACCACGATGTTCTCGCTCTCAATGCTCCTCCCTCTGTCCACCTGCTCTGGGGCAGAGCCGGCGCTGAGGTTGGGGGCGCTGAAAATGGACTGCTTCCTGCTCAGCACCATGGTGGACATCATCTGCCCCACGCCCTGGATCGACCGCCGCACGTTCTTCCCTGAGGAGGCAGCCACGGTTAAATGAGGTGGAGAGAGGGGTGGCAGAGGATCAATGAAGGACCCACTGAGGCAGGAAAATGCTGTAGATTTGATCAGAGAATGAGCAGGAGGAGCCCAACATTTCTTTTGGTGTGGCCAAGGGCTCACCACCCCGTGTCCTGGTGCAGTGGAAAACATGGTCTGCTTTTCTTGCCACCAAAACTGGAAAGCACTGGGAAAAGCCACGGAAAACACTGGGCAGACCATGGAAAACRCCTTCCAGGCCATGGATGGGGACTCACCTGTCACCTCATCGTTGTAGACTTGTAAACCCCCCATGAGCTGGGGGTTCTGGACGCAGTCGATGATGCCCAGCAGGGTCCGTGTCAGGCGCAGCAGCTCGCTGAAGCTGTAGAAGCCGAAGTAGATGAGGTTGTGGGCGAGGCTGACGACCTGGGGAGGACAAGGCAGCTCCAGACTCGCCGTGGTGGGGTCTGGGCAGGAGAGTCCAGCGTGGGGGACAGGGACATTGCAGCCGGACGGTGACAGTGACAGTGACAGCRGCGGTGCCCGCACCTCGAAGGTGAGCTTGTTCTTCTCCTCGTTGGCGAAGGGCACGGCCTCGCTCACCACGTTGTTGAGATAATCCTCCACGAACTCCATGGTGCTGGCAAACTTGTTCTTCTTGTCATCGCGTGAGACGTTGAGGTTGGAGTCGTAGCTGCGGGGGGACATGTCAGGCTGAGCTGGGGACACCGAGTGTCCTCACACCCAGCTGGCTGGAGCACTGCCCGGGCAGCTCCTGAGCCCTTGTGGTCAGCAGTGATGGTTCAGACMTCCAAAAACATCCCCCACCCRCTGCCACAGCATCTGCCACCCCCAYCCTGCCCTGTCCCTCRAGCCACCCTGAGCCCAGGCGTGTCTCACTCTTTGATGGTGATGGCTGTGGGGATTTCTGTCCAGAGCCGTGCAAACTTCACGGGCATCACCAGCTCCTGGGGGTCCCTGTCCACGTGCACGTGCAGCATGAGGTGGCAGAAGGAGGCGCGCAGGTCGAAGGGCAGCATCTCATCTGCCATGCACAGGAAGATCAGGTCCACCCCCAGCTGCTGGGAGATCTCCTTGATGGCCAGGTACTGGCGGTCCAGGCACATGCGGGCAAAGAGCTTCAGCTGGTACCTGCCCGGGGGTGAGGGGGAGAAGGGAGTGAGGCCCTGTGACATTCACAGCCTCACCTGGACAGGAGGAGCCCCGGGAGCATCACCTGTAGTAGCTGAGGACATTCTCATCGTGGGCATTGCCGGCCCTGGCCTCCTGCGCCAGCTGACGGATGCTTTTCTCATGGTGGTCGTTGTTTTTGTCTGTCCAGGTGAGCCAGACCTCCTCCTCTGAGTACTCGATGCTCAGGTACTCGTGGGTCTGGGACATCTCCTTCACTGGCCTCAGCCTGGACAGGAGAGGGGAAATCTGGAGATGCTCCCATGGATGGAGAGGCTGTGCCTTGAGGGATCCCCTGGGAGCTGGACCAGGCCCACCCTGCAGTGGGTTTTTTTTTAGGGCCAGGTAGAAAGGCTGTGTTTTTAAGGCTTTTATTTTTATTTTTAAGGTGTTTTTGAGGCTTTTATTTCACTTCTCATTATCCTGCCCTGATTTTGCCAGTAATAAACTTAATTCCATTCTCAATTAGAGCCTGCTTCATCTGTGATAGTGTTTGATGAGGGATCTCTCCTGGTCCTTATTCCAACCCAAGAACCAAACATCCTCAGTGAGGGATCAGCGTGCTATGTGATATCTTAAAACCAGAGGCTCCAACCTTGGGTGAAGCCTTCTCTCTGGAATATTTTGTGTAAACTAGGCTCTGTCTGGGGAGGATTCTTTAGACTATGGGGACATTACTGCATTTGTTGTTTCTTATTGGGGAATCCCAGATAGATGTCCTAAATTGTGAAGTCTATAAAACTTTTGTAAGTGTTTTACACTTACATATATTCCATGTATTTTGTTAAATTTTTCCTGCCCAGCTGCGGGTGGTCAGTGAGTGAGGGGCTTTGGCGGGCTCCCGACACCCACCCCCCACCAAACCCACAGCGTGCCCCCTCTCCCTCGGCCACTCACTCTGTTTTGATGAGGATGTCGCTGTTTTTCGAGTCCAGCACGCACTTGCAGATCAGCTCCTGGGTGACGGGGATGGCGATGTGGTTGGACACGCAGAGATCCGAGAGATAATCCAGAAACCTGCCGGGGGACAGAGGTGGCTCTGCCATCAGATGGGATCCCCWGAGCCCCCCTTTTCCCCCCAGCACCCCACAGAACCCCCAAACTCACCGTGGCTCGCGGTTTTTGCGCACCAGGCTGACGAAGGTCTCCACCTCGGTCTTGGTGATGTGTTTCTCCAGCAGTTTGCGGTTGTTGTGCAGCAGGGCCGTGATGGTGTCCTCGGCCAGGATGTCGTAACCGATYTGGGACTGCATCATCCCGAACTGCTTGGCAATGTGCTCCTGCAGCGGGCAGAGGGGCTGTTAGTGATGTCACCCTGTGCCACAAAGCCCCATGGGGACRGGGGGGACACCCCCCACACCTGGTTCTTGCGGTAATCCTCCTGGGAATGCCGGAGCACGCGGTAGCACAGGCGGAACATGTACTGGTAGGGAGCGTTCTTCTGGTCCGACAGCTCCTCCAGCCTCACCAGGGGCCCTTCCCCGCCCTTGTCCTTGAACGGGGCCTTCAGGATCCCAAAGATCTGCCCAAAAGTCAGAGGTCAGGGCTGTGTCCTGCTCCAGCMATCACCCCGTGCATATGAGCTGGACACCACATCGTGCCCTGTGGGGTTTTCCATCGCTCTGGCCACCAGAGTGGCCCTGAGCAGGACAGGACAGGCCATGTCCATCTCCACAGGACATGTCCCCAGCGTGTCGGGATGTCACCCACCTGCTTCAGGATGTTCTGCTCCCGCATCAGCTTCTGCCGTTCCCGGTTGGGCTTGGTCACCACGATGTCCAGCACGTTCTGGCCRTTGTTGGGGACGTCGCTGACGAAAAACACCAAATCCTCCAGCAGCTGGATCACAAACCTGCCAAGGGATGCAGGGTGAGCGGGCTGGGGGTTGCTCACCCACCCAGACTGGCATCCCTGCAGTGATGCTGGTGGGTTTTAGGGACCAAAGAGCCTCAAAAACCAGCCAGGGGAGCTGCTGGCTGATCTTCCACTCCCTGATGGGGTCAGTGGCTGGACCTGCAGCCCCTAWGGCTCCTATATGTGCCAGGGTGAATGTTGGGGGGCTCTGCTCACACTTCACACGTTAATTTTGCATTTAATGCCTCTGTCCCCTTGGTCACCCTCATGCTGGGAGGGCTGGCAGGGCRGCAGCCGCTCCCTCAGTCGGTCCCACAGGGATCTGTGTTTGCTCAGGAAGCACCAWGAACCCACCCACCTAAAAATAATACTGTGACTAAGGCGGCCGCCCCTATCGTGGGGCCATCTCCCAGCCCCTCGGATATTTTTCTGGGATATTTTTTCTGGGATATTTTCTTAGGATATTTTTCTAGGAGGGGCCGGAGCAGGGCCGTGCTGTTATCTGGTTTCCTCGCCGGGCTCCTGGGAGAAGCAGGCGTGGATTGGGGCTGTGGGCAGGGAATTGAGGGCAGCGCTGGCACCAGCACCAGGCAGGGGCCTCATCCTGCTGGGGAGCCCTTGGAGGAGCCCAGCACTGCCCCTTCATCTCCCCTTTTACCTCCGGTCGTTCTGGCTGAGGAACCCTTCGTTCATCTTCTCCACCACGTTGGCCAGCATGGAGCTGGCGTCATTGGCAAAGTCCAGGTCCCGGATTTCAGACACGGGCACGGAGACGATGGCAAAAGCTTCCTTGTCCTCCTTGGTGGGGCATGTGCCCAGCTGGGGAGCAATGGAGAAACAGCGTCACACGGACAGGGCAAGGCCAGGAGTGTCCCCAACTGTCCTGCTGGCATCAGTGACCCAGTGTGGGCACATCAGAGGGGCTGGGGTGGGCTCTGGGTGATTGGGATGGGATCTGGGTGACTGGGATGGGGTCTGAGTGACTGGGGTGGGGTCTGACTGATTGGGGTGGGGTCTGAGTGACTGGGGTGGGCTCTGGGTGATTTGGATGGGCTCTGGGTGATTTGGATGGACTCTGGGTGACTGGGGTGGGGTCTGGGTAACTGGGGTGGGGTCTGAGTGACTTGGGTGGGGTCTGAGTGATTGGGATGGGGTCTTAATGATTGGGGTGGGATCTGGGTGACTGGGATGGGCTCTGATTGGGGTGGGCTCTGGGTGACCGGGGTGGGGTCTGAGTGGTTGGGATGGGCTCTGGGTGACTGAGGTGTGGTCTGAGTGATTGGGGTGGACTCTGGATCACYGGGATGGAGTCTGGATGACCAGGTGGGTCACTGGGGTGGCCTCCAGGCTGGTGTCCACCCACTCCCTCGGATCATCCCGGGTGTTTCCCCGCCAGGTGCTGGGAGGGAAGGAGCCCACCAGGAGCTCTCAGGGAATCATCCCAGGCAGGGAGGAGGAGTGGGGCCATACCATGAGGCGGATGGGCCTCTCCTCATCGATGTCAATGGGCACGTTGGTGCTCTGGATCCAGGTGTTGGTGCACAGGTGGCGCAGCCTCACGTAGGAGTTCCTGCCAACAGCACAGTGTCCTGGTGGGTGACCCCCACGGAGTGTCCAGGTGGGTGACCCCATGAAGTTTCCTGGTGGGTGACCCCCACATAGTGTCCAGGTGGGTGACCCCACAGAGTGTTCTCATGGGCCAGAGTGTCTAGGTGGGTGACCCCCATGGAGTTTCCTGGTGGGTGACCCTCACACCAGTTTCCTGGTGGGTGACCCCCATGGAATGTCCAGGCAGATGACCCTCATGGGGTATCTGGGCAGATGACCCCCATGAAGTGTCCAGGTGGGTGACCCCCATGGAATGTCCAGGTGGGTGACCCCCACAGAGTGTCCAGGCAAGTGACCCCCATGGAGTGTTCTGGTGGGCCAGAGTGTCCGGGCAGGTGACCCCCATGGAGTGTCCGGGCAGGTGACCCTCATGGAATGTCCAGGAAGGTGACCCCTATGGAGTGTCCAGGAAGGTGATCCCCATGGAGTGTCCAGGTGGGTGATCCCCATGGAGTGTCCAGGTGGGTGACCCCCATGGAGTGTCCAGGTGGGTGATCCCCATGGAGTGTCCAGGTGGTTGATCCCCATGGAGTGTCCGGGCAGGTGACCCCCACAAAGCATCCTGACCCTCCCAGTGTCCTGGTGGGTGACCCTCACCGAGTGTCCTCAGAGTGTCACAGAGTGACCCCTACGGGGACACGCCAGCCCTTCCCCCAGCACCCATCCTCCCCTCCCCGGCCGTACCGAGGGACGAACGAATCCGTTTTCTGCAGCGTGGTGGGGTCCAGCTCGAAGAGCGAGGCGATGTCGTTGCCGTGGGGCACGGCCACCAGGCGGTATTTGATCTTCTCGCCCGTGTTCCTGCGGCTGGCGCGGCTGCTGCCCCCCTGTGCAGTGGGGAGGGGGCTCTGAGCCCGGCTCGGGGGTCTCGGAGCCCACGGCACTCGGGGGAGCTGCAGAAGCTTTGCCGGGTCTGAGCCTCGCACGAGCGGAGCGCAAGCGGCGCGAGCTGAGCTACGAGGCCCCCCCTTCTCAGAACCTCGCCAAAAGCTGAGAAAAMCCCCAAAAMCTCGCCAARAGCTGAGAAAACCCCCCCTGAACATACAGCTCTCTCATCTACCGGGCATTTCCCTGTGGCCTGGGGAGCCAACATGCACCGAGACCCCTCTGACACGGGTGGGACACTGCTCTAAAATCAGGGCGGGGGATGCTGTGCTGGCACAGTGGGACAAACTGGGCYGCAGACCCTGCAGAGGGCTCTGTTTTGGGGACAATTTTGGGGACATTTCCCTGCTTTCAKGCCCTGGCTGGGAGCTGGCGTGCTTGGGGCAGCGGCAGCAGCGGTTCTGCTCACCGTGGGCGCTGCTTTGGGCTCAGCCACGTCTCCTTTATAACTTGGGTTTTCCTGAAAAGTCAAAGAGGGAGATGAAAGGCAGCTGTGAGTCCTCCCTTCCCAAACCCCTGGGGACGGTGGGCCATCCCTATTTCTGCCTTCCCTGAACACAGCGAGGAAACCTGCCCAGCTGGGGCTGGAGGATGTGACCTGTGCCCAGTGCACCATGTCCCAGCCCTGGGAGTGGGATGGGGGATCCCAGGGGGGCAGATTTGGGCTCTGTGGGGCAGCAAGAACTCCCTGGAGGCTCCAGGCTGAGCTCTCAGTGAGCAGCACCAGCCCAGGATGGGCTCGGTCTGAGATCTTCTTTCCTCTTCAGGTGTCAACCAAGCATCTTCGGGTTTAAACCCATTCAGAGCCMCAAAATTTGCCCCAAAATTTGCTGTTTTCCATCCCACAATGATGGAAAGGGGCTGCTCCTGGGTGTTTTCTCCACTTTGTCACCCCCGGGATGTCCCCGCTGCCCTGGCAGCAGAGCACAGCCCTCAGTCCTGGCAGTGCCAAACACACCCCAGTGCCCCAGTGCAGCAGCTCCTTCGTGCCTCTGTCAGGAGGCCTCAAGCTGGCCTTAAATGGGAGCAGAAACACCTGGCAGATGGTGCTGGCAGCCCCAGATTTTGTCCCCACCCTCTCCCGGGCAAGGACAGCGGGATGAGTCACGTYCCACTGCCAACGCACCCGGCTGTGCCACTCGCTCCGTTGGCACAGAAAAGCCCCAGCCACCCCCTCCTGTCCTCCTGGGCCAGAAAATGAGCCAAATTTGGGCTGGTGAACCCTTGGCTGTGGGATTTCAGGGGGAAGTTTGACCCTAAATCAGGTAAATGATGGTGATGGTGTGGTGTGATTATCTCCTGCAAGCAAGGAGGAGTCTGGGGATCCCAGAGCAAACTGGGAGGGAACCAGTGGAAAACTGGGCATCATTCCCTGCCCGAGGTGGCCACTGCCTTTCCAAGGGGTGGCCCAGCCCCAGGACACGTCCCTGCTCCCCTCTGCCACCCCCTTACCTCTGCTGCCAGGTAGTTGCCCGTGGCCAGATGTTTGAAGCGGTACAAGCCGTTCCAGTGGCCGGCTCCCCCTCGGCACGGGTCGTGGTGAACAACCTGGGACGGGCAGGGGACAGCTCAGCCACACACAGGAGGGTCCAGGATGTCACCAACACCCCGTCCATSCCCTCCCTGCTCACCTCCACCTCCCACAGGGCGTTGGAGCTGGTGGCCGAGGTGGCCGACTGGCGCAGGGTGGTGCGCAGGAAGACRTGCAGCTTGCCCTTGTACTCGTCGCAGGTGAGGAATTTCTCCTGCTCGGCGTGGAACAGCCTCACSACRTCCCCCTGCGCCAGGACAGAGGGGTGAGGGCCAGGGGGAAAGGATCCCAGAGTCTTTTTCAGGTTGGAAAAGACCTCCGAGGTCATTAAGTCTGATTTAAAGTCAGTGCTTAATAAGTTTTTTAAAAATAAATTACGGCGAGAGGACGTGGGTGTACATAAAGATCAATCTTGCTCCCCCTCCTCAAAAAAAAACTTCAAATATTAAATCACTAGGCTATAGATTTAATATGAGATTCATATTTTTGGGTCTCTTCTGAGGATGGGATAAGGGCTATGATTCCCTCTTTTTAAGGTTTAATTATTATTAAGTCCAGCCTTTCCCAACCGTGCTCACTGAAGCACATCCTGATTC